ACCGATTTTCGCAAAAATAGACGATGTTACCCCTTATAAAAAATGTGAAATTTAGTCAAAAAATAAATGGATATGGATATGGATCGGAAGCCTAGGTTTTTAGCTGCTGAAAACAGTCTGTTTTTCAGCTGTGCGCCTCGTTTTGATCAAGTTACGACTGAAAAACTGCATTAAATAATGGTATTTTTGTCGGAAATCCTTCTACCTGTTTTTGGACCCAAACAAACTAGGTTTTTTGACAATCATTTTGCGAAATAAAGTCGGAATTGGGGATGTCATACCTCGTTGAGCTCGTAATTAAATTCCCAATCGATTGGCATTCAAGTCCGGAAACTTTAATTTTTGACCGATTTTCGCAAAAATAGACGATGTTACCCCTTATGAAAAATGTGAAATTTAGTCAAAAAATAAATTTCCCGGAAAGTGATGGGGATCGGAAGCCTAGGTTGTTAGCTGCTCAAAACAGTCTGTTTTTCAGCTGTGCGCCTCGTTTTGACCAAGTTACGACTGAAAAACTGCATTAAATAATGGTATTTTTGTCGGAAATCCTTCTACCTGTTTTTGGACCCAAACAAACTAGGTTTTTTTGCAATCATTTTGCGAATTAAGGTCGGAATAGGGGATGCCATACCTCGTTGAACTCGTAATTAAATTCCCAATCGATTGGCATTCAAGTCCGGAAACTTTAATTTTTTACCGATTTTCGCAAAAATAGACGATGTTACCCCTTATGAAAAATGTGAAATTTAGTCAAAAAATAAATTTCCCGGAAAGTGATGGGGATCGGAAGCCTAGGTTGTTAGCTGCTGAAAACAGTTAGTCTTTCAGCTGTGCGCCTCGATTTGACCAAGTTACGACTGAAAAACTGCATTAAATAATGGTATTTTAGTCTAAAATCCTACTACCTTTTTTTCGACCTCAAGAAACTAGGTATTTTGGCAATCATTTTGCAAATTAGGGTCGGAATAGGGAATGCCATACCTCGTTAAACTCGTAATAAAATTCCCAATCGATTGGCATTCAAGCCCGAAAACTTTAGTTTTTGACAGATTTTCGCAAAAATAGACGATGTTACCCCTTATGAAAAATGTGAAATTTAGTCAAAAAATAACTTTCCCGGAATGCGATTGGGTTCGGAAGCTGAGGAAGCTGTTCAAAACAGTCGGTCTGTTTGTTGTGCGAGGGTCAAAATTTTAACCCATTTTCATGTTCGATTGTTTAGTTTAAAATGTTTACAGAGTTGGTGGTCCCTCCGCATGCCGTTCTTACAGGAGCATTAGTTGAAGTGGTGGATGCAATTACAGGCGTTGGTTTGCTGGTGATCGAGGTAGTGCCGCTAGTCACGGTGGCTTCTCTGGGTGTTGGTTTGGCCACAGCTGCTGAGAAGATAACAAAGGGAGCAGGTGAAGCGGATGTGGCTGCTGCAGTGGTTGTGGTTTACATCCCAGTGGAGCTAGCTGCATTTTCAAAAGGATGTGAAAATGTTATCGATAATTTCTCATCACAATGGATCAGTGGAGCCCGACCATTAGCACGAAAGCAGCTGGGTGTTTTTCGAATTGTCGTCACGCGCCCATCTCTACGAAGCAACTACAACAATAAAAAGCCCAATTTTTTTTAGCAGCGGAGCGGAGCGTTTGGTATCAGTATCAGCGTTTGCGTTTACACCTGTGTGGCCTTCAATCGCTCGCACCTGCACCCCCGCCGCCTCCTGCCTCCCCCCGAGCACACGAAGAGAACGACAACTGCGGCGCACTTGCTTTCCTTTGTGTGCTTTGGCTGTTTCGGCCCAAGGCAAGAGCCCCAGCCTCAGTCCCAATCTCCTTGGTGCTCCAATTGGGCAAAATGCTGTGGACGGTGCACCTGGACGGCGGGCCGCAGCGGGTCAATCACGCGGCGGTGGGCGTGGGCGATTTCATCTACAGCTTCGGCGGCTACTGCACTGGATACGATTATCGGTACAACGAGCCCATCGATGTCCACGCCCTGAACGCGCACACAATGCGCTGGACCCTGGTGCCCCAGCAGTTGGACGCCGCCGGGGTGCCGCTAAAGTATCCTCTGGTGCCTTTCCAGCGCTACGGACACACGGTGGTCGCCTACAAAGAGCGCATCTACATCTGGGGCGGACGGAACGACGAGAACCTCTGCAATGCCCTCTACTGCTTCGATCCCAAGACCGCCCAGTGGTCGAGGCCGCAGGTTACCGGGTGCCTGCCAGGGGCGCGGGACGGCCACTCGGCCTGCGTCATCGGCAACAGCATGTTCATCTTCGGCGGCTTCGTCGACGAGATCAACGAGTTCAGCAGCGATGTGCACAGCCTCAATCTGGACACCATGGAGTGGCGCTATGTGCAGACTTTCGGCGTGCCGCCCAGCTACAGGGACTTCCATGCGGCGGTGGCCTACGAGCAGGAGCGCATGTACATCTTTGGCGGGCGGGGCGACAAGCACAGTCCGTACCACAGTCAGGAGGAGACTTACTGCCACGAGATCGTCTACCTGGACATGAAGACCAAGGTCTGGCATCGCCCCTTCACGGCCGGCAAGGTGCCCGTAGGCCGTCGCAGCCACAGCATGTTCGTTTACAACAAGCTGATATACGTCTTCGGCGGCTACAATGGCCTGCTGGACCAGCATTTTAACGATCTGTACACCTTCGATCCGCGCACCAAGCTGTGGAACCTGATACGGGCCAACGGCAAGGCGCCGACGGCGCGGCGCAGGCAGTGTGCCATCGTGATGGGCACCAAAATGTTCCTGTTCGGCGGCACCAGTCCGAGGAGCGGCTCCTCCAGCGGCTCGCCATCGGCCGGCGTATCGCCCACTCAGGAGGCGGGCGGAGCAACTGCGGCAGGCGGAGTTGTCCCGCCCGGCCTGGCGCTCATCGACTACAGCGATTTGCATGTGCTCGACTTTGAGCCCACCCTGAAAACCCTGGCCACCATGGTGGTGCTCAAGCACCAGCTGGACATCTCGGGGCTGCCGCGGAGCTTCCGCACCGATCTGCAGATGCTGACGCAGCCGAACAGTATTAGCCGGCCCATCAACCAAGCCGGCTAGCATCCAAAGCGGTAGGGGAAAAGCCCGAGTCGACTGCCACAAAATGAAGAAGGGGGAAAAAAGGGGAGACGCATCACGGAGCCACTAGTCCGTTTCTTTGTATTTGAAACCATTGGAGGAGCAAGCTCGAATTACGTTTACTGGAGAGATGGCGAAGGGAGAACCTGAGGGAGAGAGAAAGGGAGAAGCCCCAATAATTACGAAAGTTTTAGAAACTTGCTTTTGGTACTTCTGATAGCTGCTAAATAATACACAATAACGATGATTATGCGAATGATATTAAAATATAAATGTAGTTCGTAAAACATTTATAAATCGTCCTTAAATAAAAACTCCATTAACTTTATCATCTGCTTTTACCAAAATTAGGATAATATAATATAATATTTAAAGACCACGCAAACAAATTACCAACCGCAAGCTGGCACGTAGTGGTTGTCAAAATATTTATTTTCTCATTATGACCCTATGTATGTGTGTTAATTTTGACAATTTGCATGCCTCAAGGTATATATATGACCTGGCTTATCAAAGCCAATGTTACAGTCAAATATTAGATAGTAATAATACAAGTATCTACGGGTTTCGAGGTCGCAATAGGCTTGGGGCTACAGAGATCATCCCTTTCTGGGTAGGCTATCTACATATATGGTAATCTTGGATGTTGTTCCCTAGGTTGTTGTCCCAGTCAGGAAGCACTCAGCCAATTGTTTGGAATTCAACAGCCTCGCACGCAATGCCAGTAAAAGTAAAAGGCCAGCAGCTCCGTAATTGGCTATTGTGATTGGCAGTAAGATCGCGAGGCCTCGGGCGGAACGGGATGTATACTATATAGATCGAGGTGACTATCCAACGGCGCTCGTATAGCCGCGCACCGTGAGATAGCCATTGATGATGTCCGAAGGCATGTGCTGCATGGACGCGTACTCGTCGGCGTTGGCGAACCGCAGTTTCGTGTGCGGATCGGCGTACGGAGCGGGCAGCCCACTAATGTCCGAGTACTTTTTGGCCGGAACCAGCGAGGGCGGTGCATTGAGCGTGAAGTCTGCGAAATAGAGTGTGCAAATATAGGGTAAGTGGCCAAATCCCCGCCTTCCGGTACTCACAGGTGGGTCTATCGGCGGGCAGCTTCAGGTTTCGCTCCATGTTGCTTATCTGCCGCAACGGGCGGTACACACAGTTCTTTGGAAATGCAAAGGGACGCTTAAAAGATCGCTTGGGCTTCGTTGAATTCGCTTCCATGGTCTGCTTTAATTGAGATGGCAAAATCATGGTAAGCAAACCTATCGATTTTGCTGGAGATGACAACTTATTGTTCAGTAAATGTATCGACTAAGCTCAGTGTAACAGAGAGATTCCACTCGCATTTTTTAAAGCTTAATTTGATCAACACCTTTGTTTATTATTTCTAATTTAAAAATAAAAATCAACGTGGTTACACTGTAATCATTAAATGCTCATATTCTTACATCGACATTTTGACATATTTTTGACAGTCGTTGCACTCAAAACGGGCTAAAAAGTACAACGATTCACGTGAGATGATAAACTTATATTTAAGCGGTATAGGGCTATAATTATATTGACCTACGTTAAACTCGAATTATTTTAAATTTGTTTAAAATGCTCAGGTACAAGACCATTTTATACCTTAAAACTCGAGGAGGAATATAAACAAATTGTTGATGAAATATACATTTATCAGCTTAAAAAATATGCAATAATGTCTAATAATTGATAGATTTTTAAATACGTGCCATGCATTCTATGTGTTTTCCTAACTTAACCATTATATTTAAAATGAAACCCACTAATTTGAATTTCGTACTTGCGCGAAAGGAAAACTTTTAGTGATGGCACTCACCGATAGTCATCGACATCGGGCTTGAGCAATAGCAAAGAGAGCCATCTGGTAACACTGGAAGGCAAAGAAAAAATAGTTATTAATAATAGTAAATCGGTTAATAATAGTCGCGTGGTTGTTTTACATTGCATGTTAATTATAAAGTTGGCCAGCAGCGCGGGCAGGCGAATGTCCGTTTTGCCAGTCACACAGAGTCGCGCACAAGGCTGGCAGGCCAGTTAAGTGAACATTATTTTACCTTTTCGATTAGCTCCCTGCACTCCACACGTATTTGAGTAGAGCCTAATTTTTGTTAAATTCGCGGACTGTAACGCATTGTGCGTGTTTCAATCGTGGTTTGTGATCGAATTTGGAGGTCCGAAAGGAAAACGCTGCGAAAATGATGTAAAGGAAAACTCAAGTAGTCCAACTGTGCGTGTGTGTCCGTGCTGGTGTGTGGAAATTAACGTAGTGTGAAGGAGAAAAGCGAAGGAAAAGCGACAATTGCAATCCAAGGCGAACAACAAAAGCAGCTGAAGGTTGCCCACAGCGCCACGCCCCCTCCGCCCCCGCCCTCGCCCCTTGGAGGACAAATATCGGGGAGTGCAGTAAGTTTGTGGCGCCCCTTCTCCCCACGCCTCTGTCACTGACCCTCTCCTGTCCCCACCCCTTCCAATTGCACTCCTGTAAACAAAAACAACGCATCGGCAATCAACACAAACAGAAAGAGCTGCTGCTGCTGCTGCTGTTGTTGTTGTTGTGTGGAACGGAAGCGGAGGAAGTTGAATCATCGAGCGGAACTTGTTTCCCCAGCTCCATTTGTTGCTGTTTGATGTGTGGAGCGTGAAAATGCCCAGCATACAAAGTTCAATCGGAGTCGCAACTAATGCATGTAAACAAAAGAATTTTGAGCCACGCGGGGAGTAGATACTGTCAAGCCCCGAGTTTGAGTTGGTCGGGGTCAGCTGTCTTCCACAGTGGGTCACCCAGAAAAAACCAAGATTTTTTGCGGTTCTTCTGTGGGTAATGTGATATGATGATGAAGCATTTGATGATGATTATCAATCAGTTTAAATCACATACTATTCACATTTTTGTATAATATAAAACTAAATACAAGACGATATTTTTAAACATTTTAGTAATTAAAATATAGTTATTATATTGGAAAATGCACACCTTTAAAATATAATTTCTTTTTTTTGAATTTTTAATTCAATCATTTTATATCAAAAGTAACCTACATTTCAGAACTATTTTCTTTTAATTCTGTAGATCCATATAAAAACATAATTTGTTCAAATAAACCTTCTAGCCACAAGAAACATTTAAAAATAAACCCTAATAAAATATGTATCTGAAGGAAACAGACAGACAGAAGAGAAGACAGTTTTATTCCCTCTGAAAGTAGCAACGATTTACTACTTAAATTAACTGGGAATCACAAGATTACTGGTGTCACTTATCGAATCTCCCCTCGGAAGTTTCATTGACTTTGCCCCCACCAACCAAAGATAACTGAGCAAAACTTTAATTAAATAGGGATTGGGAGCAAACCCAACTGGTACAACGGGTACAACTGGTATCCACTGTCTGTCGGCCCTCCTTATCTTATCTGCCCTGCAAGTCCCGCCATGAGACCCAAGAATTAACCACACAACCCGACTCTTTTGCTGTCTTCTTCCAGAGGAAACGGCGCCGCCATGGAGGAGAAGCGCATCGCCGATTACTTTGTGGTGGCCGGGATGCCGGAGCACCCCCAGCTGCTGCAGGAGAACAGCTTCAACGACTCGGGAAGATTACGGGCGGCCAGCACCATCGAACCGATCACGGACATCGGCGTATACTTCCCGCTGCTCGGCGAGGAGGTGCCCGAGGGATTCGAGCTCCTCTCGCACACGCCTACGGGGCTGCAGGCGAACCTCAACCACGGATCGGTCCGCACCACCGACTGCTACATCTACTTCCGGCGGGGCACGGATCGCCCTCCGCTTGTGGACATAGGTGGGTCGTCGAGAGGAGATTTCAGCGGAAGTACTAGATTTATAGGACCCGCTCTCCGAATTAATCACTTACAGGCTTTATGAAGTTAAACAAAGGTCTGATAGGTTCTCCCAATCATTGCATTTTAATTATCTAGACTCTCTTTCTTTAACATATAATTGTATACAAATTCAGTTAAAGACGATTCTGTGAATTTGGTGAAAGAATATTTTTGAGATTTACTTATTTTATGGATTACTTTTTGAGACCTATGAAACTTAATTTGATTATTGTGTTTATTTTTGGATTACGTATTAACATGATTTTAATGTCCAATGAATATGAGCTTTTTAGAAACAATTGTATGACTTATATTTGTTATTTCCTGGACAAAATAATCTCAACAATCTGAATATTTTGTTATCCTTTTAAATGGAAAAGAATGAATACGAATTGAAGTATGACTAAAACTTAGTGTTATACATTACACTTTTTTTTTGGTTTCTCATTTTTAGTGGCAAAACCCAACTGAAATGCTTAATTAAGAAAGTTTAAATCTTTGTTATACATTCATTTTTGTTAAATAATTTAAAATCCAAATTCCGTTTTTGTTTTCCTGGAAGTAAAAGTTGGTTTGCAATAGATTTCATAAATCAAAGAATAGCTTGGTTGGTTTCTTGATAAGAAAAGTCGACCTTAACCTTGTAATCTCGATATGACTCGTGACAAAGTATATAAACTGAAATTTATTTAAATCAAATAGACCCGTTCACTGCCGTTAAGATACCATTTGTATCAGGCGGGGAAAAATAACTAATTCATGTTTAAATAAAATATATATTGTACATATAAGTTACAGAATGTTCAGTTTTAAATGTAAAGCGCAACTTTCAATAGGGATTATCTCCATATAAAAATGTGCAATGTTATATTAATCCGCCACACCTTTTGTAGGAGTCTTGTACGATGGCCATGAGCGGATCATGTCGGATGCGGAAATCGTGGCGGAGACGCCCGGCGGCCGTGTGGCCAACGTGAATAACTCGTCGGCGAAGACCTTCCTCACGTACCGCCGAGCTCGGGCGGACATGCCCTGCAACGAGCTGGTGGTTACCGAACTGTGCGTCATCGTCCAGAGCAAGGGCGAGCGGGCTCCACACGCCTTCTGCCTGATTTACAAGACCCTGAACAAGGGCTACGTGGGCAGTGACGTCTATCTGTGCTACAAGAAGTCCATGTACCGGCCGAAACACATCAGCTACAAGCCGGAGATCCTGCTGCGCTACCCCACCGTCGACCACACCGACTTTCCACTGAATCTGTGTCCGAGCGTGCCGCTCTTCTGCCTGCCGATGGGCGCTTCCCTGGAGGCCTGGCCGCACGTCAACGGAACGGAGAAGCGAAAGCCCATCAGTCCGGTGTTCAGCACCTTTGTGTTGACGGTGAACGATGGCACCTACAAGGTTTACGGATCGGCGCTGACTTTTTACGAGGACTACGAGTAGGTTGCCAATAAGTGTTAATCAAATAAGAGATATCTAAGAATAAACATTCCAGTGAGTCACAGTTGTCGGTGGAGCAGAAGGAGCTGCTCGGTTGGAACGAGGAGTTCGGCGCCCAGCACTCGCTGCACATGATCAAGGCCATCTGTCTGCTGTCGCACCATCCCTTCGGCGACACCTTCGACAAATGGCTCAAGTACCTCCATGTGAGTTTAAGCCATTCCCATTGGGCCTGCTTTATCTAATATTGTACCTATTTACAGCGCATGGTGCTGTTTGGCGTTAATATTCCCATTCCCGTGGAACGGTACATCACCCAGCTGCTGGACGAGGTGCCGTTTCCGGCGCCCAGTATCCACTTGCAGCTGTCCAGCGAGTCCAACGATCGCATCCTGCTCACCCAGCCGGAGGACTCCCCGCTGCCGCGGAGTGGCGCCGGCTTCCACATGCTGCTCCAGAACCTGGGCACCGATAACTGCCTGCATGTGCTCCTGCTGGCCCTCACCGAACAGAAGATACTCATCCACTCACTCAGGTATGTCCTCCACGTTATCCGAAAGTCTATGTTAGGTATTACAACTAAATATCGATTCCTTCTCCACAGACCCGCTACGTTGACTGCTGTGGCCGAGGCCATTGTCTCCTTGCTGTTTCCCTTCAAGTGGCAGTGTCCGTACATCCCACTATGCCCGCTGGGATTGTCGGAAGTGCTCCATGCCCCGTTGCCTTATCTCATTGGCGTAGACTCGCGCTTCTTCGATCTGTATGAACCGCCCACGGACGTTACCTGCATCGACCTGGACACCAACAACATCAGCGTGAGATTTGGGGTCACCATTGGTATATAACAATATATAATTAATATTCCTTCTTTGCAGCTATGTGAGTCGCAGCGCCACTTGTCGCCCAAGCTGCTTCCAAAACGAGCAGCCCGCCTGCTCCGCCAGACCCTCACCGAACTGGAGAACGCCAAGCCCATCAGCTACGACTCCACGAACAGTTTAGATCGCGACATTAGGAAGCGAAAGCGGGAGCTGGTGCTGGAGCAGCGCATCCAGGAGGCCTTCCTGCTCTTCATGGCTAGCATTCTGCGCGGCTACAGGGACTTCCTGGTGCCCATTTCCAAGGCACCCTCAGTGGGAGCCACCGATCCAAGTGCTCTTTTCCAGCTGAAGGCCTTTTTGCGATCGCGGGATAAGGTAAGGAACAGCTAGAAATGCAGCTATATCAATATATTAGTAGAGTTCTCACTAAGTTAAGTTAGAGGGCAATCTGAGTCAATCTAAGTTATCTAGCAATTATGTTTAATACTGTAATTCCAACATGCATTCCTTAATAGTCACACCAGAAGTTCTTCGAGCTGATGATGAAGACCCAGATGTTCATCCGCTTCATCGAGGAGCGCTCCTTCGTCTCCGACGGCGACCATGGCCTGAGCTTCTTCGACGAGTGTGCAGAAAAGGTGGGCAACTACGACGAGACGCCCGCCCAGCTGCATTTGGTGGACTGGGACACGGGCCAGAATAGCGAGCGGACCAAGTACATCTTTCCGCCGGACAGTGTGGCGCCGGCGGGATCTCAAGCGGGCGGAGGAGGAGGATTGGCCTACAACTACGAGAACTTCACGCTGCAGCCGGAGCTTTTGCAGAGCACGAAGAAGACGGCCCTAACGAAATTCCTGCAAATGCAGCTGAACGCATCCCTCTCGCCTGGATCACCGATTGCCCGGCGCACCAAGCATGAGATCAAGCTTTCCCAGAAGATGGCCAGCCGGTGTCAGCAGCATCCGGAGGCATGGTCCAAGTACCTGCTGGCCACCTGCTACTCGCTGTACTTCCTCATCCTGCCCTCGATGGTCTTGGATACGAGGCACGCCGGCAAGGAGCCGGAGATCCTGCGCGCCGCCTACGACGTCCTGGTGCGGGCCAGTCGCCTAAAGATCACTTGCGACGAGTTCTGCTACAGGATCATGATGCAGCTGTGCGGGATACACAACCTGCCGGTGCTGGCCGTCCGCCTGCACTACCTGATGAAGCGCTCGGGCGTGCAGGCCAATGCGCTGACCTACGGCTTCTACAACCGCTGCGTCCTGGAGTCTCAGTGGCCGCAGGACAGTACCACGCTGAGCCAGATCCGCTGGAACCGCATTAAGAACGTGGTGCTGGGAGCGGCGCAGTTTCGTAAGGCTGGCAAGCAAAGGGCCGCCTCCAAGGTGAACAAATCGTTAAGCGCGTCCCAGGACCAAAACCTCAGTACCTTGGAGACGGTAGACGGGCAGTCGCGCACCAGCTTGGCCTCCTCCTCCGGCGATGGCGGTGGCCATGGTGGCCTGCTCGACTTTGCCGCCTTCGATCGGCTGAGGAACAAGTTGGGCAACATTGTGCGGCAGACGGTGACGGGCGGCAACAACGAGGCCATGGGGGATGCGGTCAACAGCGCTGGCCTGCTCATCCCTGGCGAACGGAGTGCCCCGAACACGCCGACCTATGGCGGGGACACCGAGATCCTGGCCAAGGCACTCCAGCAACAGCAGCCGCGCAAGCAGATCATGAGCATTGGCGGTGGTGATGACGACGACGAGGATGAGGACGAGGACGACTACACGGCTGGATCGCCAAGCACGCCGCAAAAGCAACTGGAGGCGGGCGCAGACGAGCTGGAGTACGCCGGCGGAGGTGATTACGAGGCGGACGAGGAGGACGACGATGAGGTCGACGAGCATGTGGCCGCACAGCGGGCACGCCAGCGGGTGCAGAGTCCAACAAAGTGAGTTTGCTTAATAATCAATATTCAAATTGGCAGTAATACCTATTTTCACCCTTCAGAATCTCGCCCCGCACGCCCGTGACCCAGAACGATCCGCTGGGCGCTCTGAACGAGGAGGAGTCCACCGCCAGTGCCACACCCACACAGCAGGCGCAGCAGGATCAGCAGCACTCGCAGTCGCAGATCGACAGCAGCATGTACACCGACAAGCCGATCCTGTTCCGCGGCCAGAGGAGCGCCACCTTCGACGAGTCGACGCAGATCGGGAAGAGCATGCACCGCTCGGAGACGATGCCGGTGGCTAGCAGCGGGGTGACCAACAGCCTGGCCAACATCGGATCCTCGCTGAAGTTCACGTTCGGGTAACTCCGGGGTTCCGCAGTCTTTCCCCCTCCGTTTCCCTTACTTTGTGTCTCCTTTTGATTCATCTGAACACACAATTCCACAAGCATTCCACGTCCAATCACCAAAGCAAGCGGATTATCTGTCCTTTATTTCATAACTTTACCCTCTATCCACTTCCATCCAGTTTTTAAATCATTTGTAGGTTAAAACTAAAGTAAACAGAAAGAATTGAGCATATGAATTAATTAAGTGGTTATCAAATAACTAGTGGAACTCATTCAAATGATCTGAAATACTGGAATCGCCCTAAATATCTTTCTCTTAATCTACCTCTCTTTGAATCGAACTCGTTTCTGTGCCACATTTGTTTTATGATTTATTTACATATATATATATATATAATTATATCTTAGACGTTATTCACCCGCACGATTGTCCCTTAAGAAAGACTTGAAATTGCCCGCCAATATTATAGAAAATATATCGAGCATAAGGTAAGTGGAGACCTTTCTTAGAGAACTCTAGACACACATACCCAAAAACTACACCCAAGTGTGTGTTGTGCTGCTTTCCACATGATCCACCTGGCATTCAAGTTGTGCTTCTTGGTGAAGGAAGATTCTTTATATGGTTATTGGGTCTGCAATAAGATGAGATTCGATCACATGTTCGATAACAAATCCTTTTTTTACATTCCATTGTTTCATTGTCAAAGTGTCATTTCTGAAAATGCATTAAGGCTCATAGAATCCACATTGGTACAAATTAGAAATACAGTTTAAGAAAACACATTTAATACCAGAAGTCTATATTTTGTATTAGTGTTTGTCCCAAATATTATATACTATCTTCTGTTCAACACTTCTATTCCCGATTAGTTTTTTTTTAGTATTATTTTTCAAAATTATATTTGTAGATTTAACACATTTAAATGATTAGATCGCTTTTTTCCTACCTAGCATTTGTAATTATAACATCGTTCAACCATTTATTTTAAACCTTTTTTTAAATGAACTTTTTAACATATATAATCATTGTTAAATGCTCTTTTCTACATTTTTTTTGTGCTTTCAGAATGTTTATGTTTTTGATTTTTAAAAACATGCCTTTACAAATACTTTAAAAAAATGTTTGCTTATTTAAATTTAAATTTATGTTTATTTTTGTTACAAACAAGTGGGCAGCGGCAACTAACACACAGCAGCACAACAAAAACACACACAACAGAGACCTAACCTCTTGTTTTCGTTTTGTGTTCCACATAAGTTCCACACCCCGAAATGCTGTTCCACAGGTTTTCGCCATTGGTTTTGGTTATGGTTATGGGGTTTAAAGTTCCTGTAAAACTTCGTTGGTGGCGGGCAATTCAAGGTTTGACAAAAGCCACGCAAAGCATCCACACTAACTCAAAAAGTCAATCGAACTAACTAGCTAATGGTCATCCACAAGCACCGCACCACCATAATGTATAGCAGCACCACCAGCAACTGATTTTCAAGGTCTTGGGCAGATATGTATATATATTTTCCAAACATTTAAAATTGATCTTAAGCTCTTTAAAACAGACTGACCTTAGAAGGATTTTCTGACCTGAAATCAGTTGCTGTTGGCTCCACTTCATTCTTGTTTCGTTATACATAGATCTATAGTATCTTCCGTTAATAAGAACCCGATTAACTTGTGATATTTGTACAACACAGTCCCAGCCTGACGGGTAAGAAGTCGAACGAGCTGATCCAGGGCAGCCTGAGCAGCATCAAATCGGCGGCCAGTTCGCTGACCAAGAAGTTCGACGAGATCAAGGGCGTGATCTCGGCCAATTCCACGCCGACGAAGACGAACAACGGGCACCATCCGCATGGCCTGCATCATCCGCACCACCACCACCACCATCATCATCATGCGCAGCACGGCAATCCGGAGCAGGAGGAGCACGACGCCGCCGTCCACGAGGAGGGCAAGTTGCGGCGCGTCTCGAGCGACCTGGATCCCTGGGGCAGGCTCAGTGAGTCACGCAAGTCCAGCTACAACAACCTGGTGCCGCTGGGCGAGAACAGCTCCACTGGTGCCCTCCACATGCACGCCTTTCCCGCTCTGCCCGACAACCTCTACAGCCTCGTTGGCGAGGTGAGTTCGTGGACCACGGTACCCCAGTCCTAATCTCACCAATTTCCATTCCCCAGAGCGCCTCGGATCGTGACTGCGATGTGCTGATCCAGCTGACCACGTGTTCGCAGTGCCACAACTGCTCGGTGCTCGTCTACGACGAGGAGATCATGAGCGGCTGGACAGCGGAGGACTCCAACCTGAACACCACCTGCCACGCCTGCAACAAGCTCACGGTGCCCTTCCTCAGCGTCCAGATCGAGCGACAGTCGGAGGAATCGGATCAGCCGGATCTTCTGGAGAACGGCAAAGAGCAGCCAGCAGCAGCAGGAGCAGCCAACGGCACTATCCACAAGTCCAGCTTGACCGTGCCGTATCTAAACCCGCTGGTGCTTCGCAAGGAGCTGGAGAACATACTTACCCAGGAGGGCGACATCGCGCTGATCAAGCCGGAGTTCGTCGAGGAGCACCCGATCATCTACTGGAACCTGCTCTGGCTGATGGAGCGCATCGAGGGCAAGACGCACCTGCCTGAGCTCTGTCTGCCCGTACCGGTTAGTGGATAGTTAAAGATCATATTTTAAACAAGAGTTGTTTATGGGTACGCTTTAAAACTGAAAATTTATCTATGCAATGTTTTGCTATTTTAAAATTAGATTCTGTGCATTAGATAGGTACAAAATACTTAGATATCAAAACTTAATTAGTTGTTTGATTGTTCAGAACGACTAATAACTCTTTTCTCCTTATTTATCCAATGCTTAGAGCGACAAGGAGCACATTGATCCGCTGAGCAAGGTGAAGACGGTGCACATCCAATGCCTGTGGGACAACCTCAGTTTGCACACCGAGGCCAGTGGTCCGCCAATGTACATACTGTACAGGGAGACACAGCCGACGGATCCGCTCATCAAGGCGCTGCTCACTGACCAGGCGCAGCTCAACAAGAAGTAAGTGATCCCGGATATAAATCCCTCAAAGATAGCTGTTACCATAATCCCTTTGTGTTCGGCAGTGTCATTCAGCAAATCATTTCGGCCATCCGGTGCAACGACTTCGCCACTCCCCTGAAGCGTTTGGCCAACGAGCGGCACAAGCTAAAGAACAACGGCGTGGAGCGATCGCACTCGTTCTACCGCGACATCCTCTTTCTGGCCCTGACCGCCATCGGAAGGGCCAACGTGGACCTGGCCACATTCCATCGCGACTACGCGGCCGTGTTCGACAAGCTCACGGAGCGGGAGTGCAACATGTACTATCGCAACCAGGATCTGCCGCCCTCCGCGTCGACGATCTTCTGCCGCGCCTACTTCCGCCCACTCCTGCTGCCCTGACGCAGTGACTCCCAGCAGGAGGAGACGGGCGGCGAGGGAGGAGCATCGCCAGGCGGTGCCGAAGAGGAGACATGATTTCCGGGATGGGTAAAAACTTAAACTTAAAAGACAAGACGACCAAAAAATTTCATAACAAAAAGGAACGAAGGGAAAGTTTAACGACAACAAGACGCTTATCACACACCCTAGGCCGATTTTATAGATTGGGCAATTATAAACTAATTTCTATTAGAAATCAAAGCTATTATTTACGTTAAAAAATAAGAGGACGGTATTTCGGAACTATTCCTAGTAGGCTACAAAAATATAATTGTTTTAAACGAAAAATATTTGGTTCGAAGTGTTCTTAGGTTTTCAATATAATTGTTTTGAATTGTCCTCAATTTATTTCTATAGAATTCAAAAGTTGTTATACTTTTTTAACGAACTTCCCTAAAAAAATTGACATGTGTTAAATTGTGAAAACATGCAAATGCGTTTGTAAATGACTTGATCTTACATTTTAAGTACTTAACGATTTTTCGCTGTTTAAACTTAATCAAAAAATATACACACACATTGATGACTGTTTCTGTGACAATACATAAATACGTTCAGACAGTGCGTTTCATAGATGTAACAGAATCGAAATTCTAAAATGGAAATGTTTATTTTTCCCTAATATTTTGTACTTATTCCCAACTTACTTATTCTAATAACTGCCTTAACTGATACCGCTAAATTTTCATTATTTTTCCCCCGTATAAGGAAATTCCTAGAGGATATTAATTTTGTATAGCCGAAACGCACTGTACTTACCCTCTTTGAAAACAAAAAGAAACCCATAAGACGTGTATTCCAATTTTCAATGACCCTCGTCATATTTGCCTTATTATATATAATATAACGATACATATTTATGTACATAGAAAGCTAAATTTGCGATCTTGTAAATCAGCATTGTGAGCGGAACAGGAACAGGAATAGGAACCGGAAACCCCTACCCCACCCCCTTGGCACTATCCTCTCCAACATCTGGTTATTTCAAAAATAACCTGAAATCGCACTTTTTTTATCTTGAGATTTCCTCACAATGCTCGGGTCTTTTAGTTAGCTAAACTTTCGGCGGGAAAGGGTGGGGGGGGACGTGCGGCTAGTAACTAACGAGAGCAGATAACAATTAAACAACGATTACAATAGCAATAATTAATGGATAATCGTATATACATGTAGATGGAATAGATTACTCTTGCAGATCAAACTCTACGACACACGTTCACGTCCACGTTTTTAAACACAACACCCACACACGATACACACTCACTTAAATAATGCAGCCACGGTAATTTTTTTTGTCGGAAATCTTAACTAAATGTATATTTAATAACTAATTTAATTAATGAAAAAAATAATACGAAAATGGCAAAAAGAATAAACAAATAAGTTTTAAAAATAAATTAAATTTGTTCCCATTTATTCTGAAGATTGTACAATGTACAAAAAAATCATGATCCATTTCACCCTTATTGAACTTTTGATTAAATTCTGAACCGATTAACAAACAATTTTAAATGTCAATTAATAGAAATACAAAATACCATATTTGCTCATCGAGAAAAAAGTCAAATTGCCAGATTTCTTATTTCAGAGAACAGGCGAACATAAACGCTTAGTAGGTGTAAAACGATCAGCTGATTGGCTTAATTCAAGCTTACTTAGAGATGCTCCCGTGACTTGTTCCTTTTGGCACGGCCTAAGCAAATACAAAGGACTTAACTGTTACTTTGTGCATATCGTGACAATCTCGTGACAAGATCGTGACGAGCTGGTGACACGGCCATGGTTGCTCATCTCTGGTCTGCGTTTGGCTCACAACTAACGGTTCTTTCCCATGGAGATCAACTCCTATTGGTCAGTGGGAGGAGGGGAAATATAGACAGGGCCGCCATTTTGAAATTGAACAGTTATTTAAGTTCAATTCTAGCTACCAGCTGTCACTTGCCAAGTTTTCTGTTTGCCTGGTGTCTGAGAGCCATGAGCCCAGCACTTTGACCGAAAAAATTTTACGAAGGCTTTCAATATGTTAAAGTAAACGAGTGATTTTTCAATTTGAAGCATCAGGTGAACAGGAAAATTCGTAGGTTGCCAATAATTAGTTTTTAAGGCTTAACTAGAGGTGTGCCGTTTCAAAATATGTGACGGAATTGTTGCCGATCAAGCGATGGCCCATCTCTAGTCCGCTTATACTAAACTAACGGTTGTCTTCCAGTAAAAAATCGCAACGCCCAGCAGCCACCTGCTACGAACTATGTTCGCCTGGTGTCAAAGATCAAGAAATTTCATTTCAGACCTCATTGAAATGACAGTTCATAGAAATCACAAGTCCAAAATACCTTCTTTTCTCATCGAGAAAATGGTAAAATTGCTAGATTTTTTATTTAAAACACCAGGCGAACATAAACGTTTAGTAGGTGTAAAACGATCAGCTGATTAGCTTATTCCAAGCTTACTTAGAGATGCTCTGGTGATTTCTTCCTTTTACCACGGTGACAAGATCGTGACAAGCTCGTGACATGATCGTGACAGGCTCGTGACAAGCTCGCGAAACGGCCATGGTTGCTCATCTCTGGTCTGCGCTTGGCTTTCAACTAACGGATCCTTCCCATGGTGATCAATTTCTATTGGTCAGTAGGGGGAGGGGAAATATGGTAAGGGCGGCCATTTTGAAAAATAACGGTTCTTTAAGTAAAATCATAGCTACCAGCTGACACTTGCTAAGATTTCTGTTTGCCTGGTGTCTGAGACCAATAAATTCAGCACTTTGGCAGAAAATATGTTTAGAATGAAGGATTTTCAATTTGTTGAAATGAGTGATTTTTCAATTTTGAAACGTCAATAATTAGCAATTATAAATCAAAAATACCATATTTGTCTGTCGAGCAAATTGTCAAAGCGCTAGATTTCTTAATTTCAGACACCAGTGCCCATTGACGATGCATGATCTTACGCAGTCCAGTAGCTTGGACATGGTTAGCTGCATCTGGTAAACGCAATCGAATAAAAGATCGTCGGATAATGTATTATTGCATATATACTATATATGTATAGATGGTTCATTGACGCAATCGAAACGTACAGGGATAATTACAGTTTGTGAGTACTTGTTCCGCTGAACCTCTTAACAGATCTACAGATGGGTGGAAGGATGACGGGTGGAGGGCAGGGATGATGCATCTGATGGGGGTGATGAAGTGGAAGTGGAGGACATACAGGTCGAACGTACATCGGAACATTAAAAAATTAAATCAACTTACGAGCGAATCTAGCGAAAAAAAATGTTTGGATATTTTGAGTTTACGCCTAGCAGGAAGACCCACAAGAGACCCAGAGACGGTAGTTTCGGGAGCAGGGTTTCCTAGGATGTTAACTTAAGCCTAATCCGAGAGCATCACCACATCATCGCTGACAGTGGGCGGGGGCTTCTCCGGCTTCTTCTCCTTGGGATTGCTGGCATCGCTCTGGCGCCGCAGAAACTGGCTGATCAGCTTGTTCTTGGTGGCCTGGTGTATCGGCTGGTCCCTGGGCACGGACATGATCAGGGTGGCCCGCTTTTTTGCGCCCTGAGCCGCCGTCGGCGTCTGTCCACTGTAGGGCGTTGTGGAAGCCGAGTTCGCCACCGCTGCCACAACGGGCGAGGCGGTGGCCTCCGCCTCCGCCGGCGGACTCTGCTCGTGCTGCGGGGCATCCGCTCCCTCGCTGATCTTGGGCGTCAGCGTGTAGTCCCACTGATTCTGCAGCGGGAGCTCCGGCAGCTGGAACTTCTCCAGCATCTCGTTGGCCACCACCCAGCAGAGACGTTTCTTCGGCTTCTTGCTCTTCTTGGCGCTGTTGGCATTGGAGGCCGCCTCGGGTGTGCCCAGTTCGACAGTCTTCCAGCTGGCCAGCTCGTCGAACTTCTCGCGCAGCACAGCCTTCGAGGGCAGCACCGTTTGAGTGGACTCGGCGGCCGCCTGGGTTTTCAGGTACTCTAAATACTCGTTGATCAGGAACAGCTTCGAGTTTCGATTGCCATGGGTTAGGCGCACCAGCTGCTGCATCAGACGATCGTCCAGCTGCAGCGGCACCGGCGGTTCGGGCAGCTGATCCTCGCCGTCTGGCTCCGCTGGAGCCTCCAGGCTGAGCGGCTCCATCTGCCAACAGGCGTACATGTCGATGGTGTGAGCAAAGATTGCCGGAAACAGCTGCGAAGGGTTGCCATTCTCGTCCAGCCAAACGGGTCCCAGAAGGCGCGGCTTGATCTTCTTCGTCTGCTTCTTCATCTCCTGGGCGAACTCCTGCTGCAGCACCTGCAGCTTGGCCTTCTGCGCCTCCCTCGTGTGTCCGTCGTCCATCTCGCCGTCGTTCTGCAGCTCCTCGTCGCTGAGATGGCCGTGCGGTACGTACCACTCGTTGTACTCCTCCTCGGATTCTTCCTCTGACTCGCGCTCCTTCTCGTCCTCGCTGGCGCTCAGCGACTCGCCCGGCTCCTCCTCCTCCCACTCGCAATCGGAGTCAAGTTCGTAGTCGAAGTGCACCTGGGTTAAGTGCATAAGGGTTATAGATATATTTGGGAAATGATAATTAAATCAGAAGAGGGTGTTCCTCACCTTATCCTGGGCCAGTGGGCGACGAGCGGAGATGCTGCTGCTCTTCTTGCGCCACGTGCCGTAGTACGGCGGCCTTCGGTTGTCTGCGAAATGCAGGTACTTGGCCCGCATCCTGGCCAGTTGCTTGGGCTGCTCCACCTCGATGGGCAATCCAGCATTGGACAGATCATCTGCGGAAATAGAAAGATAAACATATCGGTTGGGGGTAGATGATGGGATATAGTCTTAGGGATACAAACCTATCACCTGGACCTCGTCCTCCTCCTCCTCGTCCTTGGTGCGCCTCTGGAGACGGGCATCGCGCTGCACCCTGAGCGGCTCCCGCCGCCCGCTTCTTAGTTCGCTGAGATAGAGATGGGCCCGACTTGGTGGCTTTCTCCTGACGATATCCTCCTCTTCGTCTTCTTCTTCCTCCTCCAGGAACCTGAAGAGACCATCCAGCTGGGAGCGCTGCTCCCCGCCAAGCGAGGCGCGCACAATAGGCGCCAGCAGCATGTCGTCCTTTATTTGGAAGGGTCGGAAAGCCAGCGTCTGGCTACTGGCCTTGGAGCTGTCGCAGCTGCTCTGTTCGTGCTCCAGGTAGGATGTGTTGTTGGAGCCGCCACCGGCCTTGGGCTGCTTGGGCACGAAGAACTTGGAGAAGGACTCGGCGGCGCGCTTCTTTTTCTGCTCCGCCTCCTCGCGCTCCTGTTCCTTCTTGCGGCGCTCCTCGTCCTTCTTGCGCTGCACCTCCTCCTTGGCCTCATTGCGCTTGCGCTTCTCCTCATTCTTGGAGTCCACCTCCGCCTGCCGCTTGCGCTCCTTTTCCTCCTTCTCCATCTTCCTTTGCTGCTCCTTTTGGTCCTTCTCCAGCTTCCTCTGTTGCTCCTTCTCGTCGCGCTCCTGCTTCTTTTGCTGCTCGCGCTGCTCCTTTTCTTGCTGCTTGAGGCGACGCTCCTCCGCCAGTTTCTGCTCCTTCTCTTCGCGAGCCTTCTTCCTTCGCTCCAGGAGCCTTTGCTGCTTGGGCGTAAGGGTCTTCTGAGCATCGCTTGCCTCCGGAAGACTCTTCCTCTGCAGAAGAGCGTCCTTTTGCGCGGAGGTTCTGTCAGTGGCCGCGGTGTCCGTGTCCACGTCCATCTCGTTCTCGCTGCTGGAACTATTGTTGTCGCTGCTGGAGAGGATCACCGAGATTTCAGCGGCTTCGGGCGATTCTTTGTCCAATTTATCTTGGGCAGCAGGCTCTTCCTTCTTGACTTGCTTGCTGATTTTATCTTTCTCTGGGGTTTCAGCTTTCTTGCTCGTCACCTTCTCTG